AGAGGAATTCCACATCAGAGCAAGAACCGTAGGTCTCAGGGGATGGTGCATTTTTGCCAAATGGCTATGTAGAGCAATACTGTGCTTTTTCACTATGTCACTGAAAATTTAGATGAAATAAACATATGTTTTAAAAAACTCATGAGCAAAAATCCTTGTTCTCACTCCAGCATGCTTCATGGAAGAGTCAGTGATTTTTTCACTATAAAAGATAAAATTCTTTTTTTTTTTTTTTTTTTTTTTTGGCAGAACCGGGAATTGAACTCAGACCCTTGCACTTGCCAGGCAAGCACTTATTAAACTGAGCCATCTCCCTGGCCCAAGAAACATAAAACTCTTAAGGACAATCTTATAAGAAATAAAAGTAGAGCTAAAAATAAAGTTGAAAGACCCAAACCAACCAACTGTAAAGACATACTGTGAGATATTAGTGTCAATTTTCCTTAAATTAATGTAATTCTAATGCAAATACCAAAAGAATCTTTCAAAAGACCTACATAAGGTAATTCACCAGGACCAACATGACGCTTTTAGCCACCATCACAGAGCTGAACAGGTTTCCTGATTAACACTCACCAATTTTTGTGTGGAGATAGTTGAAAATGACAGTTCCCAACTGACCTTTATTGTATTACTTATGGTGAAAAGTGCCACAACTACCTTTGTCTATATAAAGTTTTAAAGAATGAAAGAAAAAAGACTGCTATGTAGCAATTCTCACCTCAGAGGTATAATGTTGCAGATCATTTCTTACAGAGAGTGAACTTTTTTTGGCAGGAGGAGCTTGATCGTTTTTATCAAGCCTGCAGGGAAATCTCTTCCTAGATAAAAGATCCAAATTATCAGGAGGCTTTTCAGAATCATCTCTTTCAGAATTAGATAAACACACAGCATCTTCACCAACTGAAGTTACTGGAAAGGTCACACTGCAGAGAAAAAATACACAGAACACAAGTGAACCAGAAGCTCTATAAGGAGGTTAAGGGCTAACAAAACTTTTAATGAAATCAAAAAATTCCAAATTAACAATTTCAAGACAATGGCTATAAAACTGTAAGTTTCAAATTGGATTTACAACTTAATTTACAGCCAGGCAAACTAGTACACACCCACAAGCCCAGCACTCAGGAGGCTGAGGCAGGAGGATCACTGTGAGTTCAAGGCAAGCCTGGGTTACATAGTGAGACACTGCCTCAAAAAAAAAAAAAAAAAAAAAAAAGGCTGGTCTTGAGATCACTATGAAGCCCTCAAACTCAACTTGCATGATCCTACTGCTTCAGATTCCC